CTTGAAAATTCGTTTCTGTCGAGAACTTACATTAACTGAAACTCATCTCGAAACTCTCCATTGAGCCTTTCTTGCTTCCCCTCTGTTTATGCAAAACTCTAGAATCCATCGAAGTTATGCGAATCAAAAAGGAAATCCCCTCAAGGCTATCACAATACGCGAACATCATTTTGAATTGGAACGATGTGATTGGTACACAGAAAATAAATTTTGGTTGTGAATGAGAAATGAAGTAAGAAAAGTGAAAACAAAATATTGTATGATAGCTGATTGATAAATGAATTGATAAAAGCCAGCAAAAACAACACAAAACCAATAAAGTGATAACCTTGACCGCGTTGGTACTCCCGGGTAGATTAACAATCAACGTATGACCTCTGATGCCAACACAAAGACGCGAAAGGGCAGCTAACGGAGTCGACTGAAGTGAACGCATATGCAATGCAGTCTCGAGTCCACCGCATCTCTTATCGATCACTGATAGCGTGGCCTGAATACAGATATCGATTCGATAATGACACAAACAAATGCATGATTCAATCACATGCACCATGATTGTGGGAAAATAAGTTGACAACACATTATTTTTGTATCAATTAGACAAATTGTATAAGAGGTAAAATCAAATATATTCAAAGTAATCGATTAGGTCTTATTGAATGAAGCCTTAAGAATATAAGACGCAAAATAACGATGGGCCATCCTCCCCTGAACGGTTCCTTCAAAAGATGCGGGTAAGCAGAACTGAACAGAATTCATGACTGAACAATAACCGAACCTCGGGTGTCACATCACGCGGTGCAAAGCCAGTACCTCCGGTTGTAATGATAACATCTGAAACGAAACACCACTTTCAGAATGATCAAGATAAAAAAATAACAATTATAATAATAACGATAATTACGAATACAATAATAATAATAATAGTAATAATAATAATAATAATAATAATAATAATAATAATAATAATTTTCTCACCTGACCTCGTACAGAGATCAATCAAAATCTGTGCAATTTTATCCCGATCATCCTCAACCAGACAACATTCAACCGTTTCCGCATCAATGCTGAAAACAAACAAACAAGCAATATTCTCAAATTTCATGGAACTTGTTCAGTTTTTGATGCTTTCATGAAATTCAGGCAGAAGTTTAGCTGAAATGCGAACTTCCAGCTAATATAAAATTTCATTGATGAAAATCGAAAAGAGCTTGAGGACTTTCTAGCTGTTTTATGTGCAGCGTAATGAACATAAATTAGAGAAGTAACAATATTAATGACAATAATATTATTAACACTAACAATAAGTGCAGTAATAATAATAACAATAATAATAAAAATAATAATAAAGCAAACGTTTTTGAAGAATCGATAAGAGATCTCAACGTTGGTCCACTCTTATCTTCTCGTGTTCCATTAACGGCTGAATCACTAACTGCAACCAACTTGCTTGGAAACGAAAGAGAAAAGAAGTGAGTGAATAAAGCAGATATGCCACACCGAATAAACACAAATAAATTACGAATTCAATTTACTTTCTCCAAAAAACAAAGTTGCTTTCGAAAAATTAACCTGTCAATAATGCAACTTTCATTTCAATCGATTGATGAAGACTGTGCAATCGTTGGAAATAATTTCCAAAATGAATGTTTATGTTATTTAACGTTGGAGAGAAAAAAGAATGACCGCTGATCTCGGCCGGGATCGAACCGGCGACCTTCTGCGTGTAAAGCAGACGTGATAACCGCTACACCACGAGACCACACGTTTGTTGTTCATTCTAAGATATAATCCAACTTTGGGTGGGTTTATCGTGCAAGCTGATATTGGAAAACAATAAGCTGAAACATCAAGAAGTTGTAAATGAAATCAAAGTAGAACAATTGCAGTTAAAAGTGCTGCAAACATCAATCGTTCACATCACAACAATAACATTTAAAATCAATCGGATGAATATGAAATTGTGACGCATAACGAAGATATTCAATAAATTTGCATTTGACAATCACGGCTCACTGAGTCAGTAACTAGCAAATCTACATAATTTTCAACGTGGCTTAGGAGTTGAATTAACATTCGATGGATTTTAATTCATTGAATGAGATTGATGATGACACTGTGGAGTTTAATAGCAGGATGGCGAGTGAATTTGGCGTGTTTCATTTTGAATTGGGTAGAGAACCATTTGGATACGACAAAGTGCTGGTATCCGAAGTTGTTGATTCTGCATTTGGATGAGACCAAGGAGTGGTTCGTAGACTGTCAGAAGTTGATCGCTGTTGGTGAGTGGATCAGAGAGGGCGCTTTAACCAATATCGTTGCACTTCTTTGCGAGGTGAAGTCTGTTCTCAGAAATATGCATATCATTTTCGTTGGAGCNCAGTAAAACATACGAGGTTATCATAGCATTCGAACTCGATACGTGATGAACTGATATGCGCTGACATGAGTTCGCCATTCATATTCCTAAGAGTCGATGGCGTACGCAACAGATCAATTGGGTAATTTTCAAGGAAATGGCGGTTTTCAGGGCCGAACACAAGATCCAGACACACCGCAGTATTTGAGAATGGTTGATGATGCGGTCAGGAAAATGGTCAGTTTCAAGTATTTCAAAATCTCCAAGTTTATGAATTGTGAATGTTAAGCGAGTGTTTGCATCATCAAAACGTGAAGAAATTTATTTGTGTGATACATTTTGATGCATGAACAGATCGGTGAATCGTGCTTAAACGCTCATCAGCTGGTTGTGTCTTACGAGAATCTGGACGAATTGAACGAAACCGCAAGTGCTGTGATACAGTGCTCTGGTCTGGGCATTCTCAACCCGAATACCGTCATCCTCGACTTTCCAAAATGTGGCAAAGCAACTAATTTGTTGGTCCATTTCGATTCATTCTGAATTACCATTTGAGTTATTCATAGAGATATTCTGACAATGAGTTGCAAATGATCAAATTTGATGACCACGCTGATGGCACCACGCAAATTATCGCTATTCTATACTGTTCACATCCTTTTTTTCATACGTTCGAGCAATTTTCAGGCTTGAAACAGTGTTATTAAGCTTGAAGAAAGTAATGAACCGTTAAATGAAGAGATATGAAGCTGAAAACAATATCGTATCAATTTCAGCATAAATCCAGGCCAGGGTGAGCTGTGGAGTTGTATAGCGTCAACAATCGATAAATATTTAATTGTTTGCAAAGGGGATCTTTGGAAGCCGGTTCCATCCTCTTTGACGGTGATTTGTCTTTCAGTATGTTTGTTTTCCTGAAAAAATTAGAAATATCATTCTCGATGTTAATTTTTTTTAAGGAATATCATTGAGAACTGTTTTTGGTCGTTCAAATAAAGAATGGTATGAATTGGATTTCAGTCAACAATGGATCTGTGGTGGATCGTTGAAGATGATGATCTGATATTGTCATTCGTTTATTTGATAAGTCGCAGTAATCGATGGACATTCACACAGTCAGTCAGTTCCTAGAGCTGTTCCACTTCAATTTAAGGCTCTTCCGCTTGATGACTGATACTTTCAAGATGCTGACGTTCATTTCATAAACTGTCTAATTTTACATTGCATTCAAGCACCAACACTAATGCTGATTGAGTAGTGTTTATGCTCACCGAAATCGTTTTTGTTTNGTGATTATCATGATATCGTTATTATGTTCGATGGATAAGTGTTGTTTGTTTACAGATTACGAATATTCGCACTTTTGAAAGACAACGAATTGGAATTAGTAAAGGAGAATATCGAACACAGAATTCGTGATGTGAGACTTCGAGTGGGTCGCGTAGAATTCAAATCGTTACCTGCTGACGATCTGAATGCCTACGGAAGTTCGTTTGGATTAGTGTATAATGGCGTTATGTTCAGTTATATTAGGTGAAATGCTTGATCAGTATTTATTCACTAAGGATGTTGTGTTGTTAGTTGTGTGGTGAGTATTTTCCATGCAAAGTGATGAGTATTCTATGAGGAAATTGAAAGTTAACAGGTTAGCAGATTTGTATCGACTTTACACAAATTAGAATAATTTATTATTCGAGGTGCCAAACCAAAAGATATGACTAATTCAAAACGTTCTCCGAAATCATCATGTGTCACATCTGAACATAATAAGCATAAAATACCTCTGGTGAGTTGAGCGTTGCTTTTGAAAGATTCATTATATTCATGACAGAAGAGGACAAACACAATCAAATGTTCGATTGTGATGTGTTCAAGATTGCTTGAGATGGAAAAAGAAAAATATTGAAGATGAGGAAATTATTGGGTGATTACTGCATGGTTTGCAGTGGTTGACTGCATACGAAGTAGTTTAATTTGAATTTGGTATCGAGATTTGGTTTCAATTAATAATTGATTTTAGGCAGATACAACGATAAATCCAAGCGTAAATAATCTAATTCGATCGATATCATCGAATGCTGATTTGGTGTTGGTGAATTTACCGAGGGCACGACAAGAGGCAACAACCGCATCCAGATTATTGCTGTCGCTGGACGTGATCGGAGATCATTTGCCGAGACTGATCGCCTTTAGAGCACCAATCAAGATCACGTTCTAATTTGATGAGTGCACATATTTTATCACAGCTTTCGCTTGCTACCGTCACCCTGAAAATATTATTCGGTTCTAGTCTGAAGCTAGCTCCGAGGTGTGTTTTCGACTGCTTGATGATACCTTGTGGATAAGATACCAACAAATCGTTTGCTTTGAAGATATCGTTATTTGTGGTATTATTCGATATCGATTAAATGTCATTTAGTTATTTGTTATTATTGATTGTTATTATTATCATTCATTCATAGGTAATTGCTTATTTTTAGATGTATTAAATAAATTTATTTCTCATTTGATTCATTCGATTGCATTTCAGCAAAAATATTTATATCAGCAAGTCCCGTTGTTATTGCGCATTCTACTCGACTACGGTCATAAAAAAGTGTCCTTTTGAATGACATCATCGATGCCCCTCGAAAGGACTGTTGTTTTGCTGTTACTGATTGTTTTTGATAATTTTACCAATTGCTTTACTAATTTTCTGCCGCCAATCTTCAATATTTCAATTTCGAAAATTTTTGAGAAATTACAAAATTAAAAAATTTACCAAAGATGGTATGAATAATTGTATGCAGATGGTGTAAATGATAATCACGATATGGTTACCAACTGAAAGTGAAGCATGTAGCATCATTCGTTGAATGA